CCTAAACGATTTTCTGAGGACATTTTAATTTTTCGAAATTTCATGGACTTTTATGTTTATTTGAAAATCGCCGGTATTTGTTGACAGCAAGAGTAAGATGGAGTGGATGAGGGTGTCTTTTTCAGTAAGACGCCGAATACAGAGGAATATTGAAGAGTGTAGCTGACGGACAAATTAAGTAAATAAGGAAGGAAAAAGCACAAGTATATATATATATATATATATTTATATATATATATATGAGGTTGGGCAAAACGTCTTTATTTTATTTACCCATTAACTGCGCTAAACGCTTGGCGATTTTTCAAAATGGGTGGCTGTTTTACATAACGCTCCTGAGATTTTTTCTCTTATCACGCTTTTCAAAATGTATGCTTTAAAGGTGATATATATATATATATATATATATATATATATATATATATATATATATATATATATATATATAAGCGCAATCGTCAAAAACAAGCAAATTTTTTTTTTAAAATAATAAAAAACAGCATTAAGAAATTAAAAATAATAATAATTTTACTATCGCACACCCCATCTTAAGATTAAAAAAAAAAAAAAAACGGATAGAAGGTGTGTGAACGGGCGTGTATACGTATATATGTGTGTGTGAGAAAACATTATTCCGCGAATAAAATAGACGAACGATCTGTGTTAACAATGCGACTTACGAAAAAAGTTCGCTATAAAATGCAGCATTGAATACAGCGACCAATTACCTACGTATGCACGCAACGAGATGCGCATATATGCCCAGTCCCACACTGTTCATATATGTTTATGTTTGTGTGAGCTGCAATGCATGAACGTGCATGTATGTATGGCTGCATATGTATGAGTGGTGTTCCGACGACAATTTCTCCTCCCACTACCATAAAACATTGATATACACAACCATAAATAAATACAAAATTTAAAAAATTAATCAGTTTGTCTGACGATCACAGAGTCGCAAACACACATCAATCCAACTAAATATGTTAACTCTATCACCGATATTGAGCGCTTTCTAATAAGTACCGCGCATATATATATATATATATATATATATATATATATATATATATATATATATATATATATATGTAAGCAAATATATGGATATAGATCCGACAGTATGAAGAAAAATATATACGGAAAAAACAAACAAAAATCCTTATATACAATTTATACTGTTTTAATGTTAATATGTCAACGTCGGACGTTTCGGTCTAATAAACCATCTTCAGGACATATTCATAAATTATAACATTATTTTAATACAACATGACAAAGACGATGTACATAAGAACAAGACTTATCCAAACAAATAACTGAAAGTTTTATAAGATATCCGTTTAAAAATACTCAAATTTTAGGAATACGTTTTCACAGCGTCGCCCACGTGACATTTTTTGCCCATGTTTTAAACGGAGCGTTAATCTTAAAAAGTTTTTTATGATAATATATTTGAATATATCATGTTGTATTGATAATGTTATAATTTATGAATATGTCCTGAAGATGGTTTGACGAAAACGTTGACGTTGACATATTAACATATTAACAGTATAAATGAACAAATTAACAGTATTCTATGAACATTTCTCGGACATTCACGCCGGTAAATGCTGTTTCTTATAAACAGAGCATTTACTTTAATATTTGTATCTAATAATTTGTATCGAATAATTGGTTCGTTGTAGCTCCGTTCATTAATGGTAGCTTCATCTGCCCAGAAGGACGCAGGATCGTAATCTTTTTCTTTAATAAGATTTCTAGAACATTCATGCCGGTAGACAAAAATAAATAACTATAGTGTTTAATAAATAAACGGAGCCTCTTCTCAAATACGAGTATCCACTAAAAATACCGTTTAAAGTTATATAAAATATGTTGTATTAATAAAAAATTAGAAAATCTTCTTTGTTTCTGTTTGGATACGAAAGTGTGCCGATATGAAAAATTTCTGGAGATCTATAACGAGTACAATGGTACAATTTTGAACATAACTACATGATTGACTCTTTGATAATTAATATATATATGTGTGTCTGACTGACTGATATATATATATATATATATATATATATATATATATATATATATATATATATATATATTCAACACACATACACACACACACAAACACACATATATATATATATATATATATATATATATAAATAATTATGTGCCAAGCGTGATACACACTTAGGCGATCACGTATCTTTCGATGCATAGCTGACGAGGCAGATTTTTCCGCAGTAGGTTGCCATTTCTTTCTGCGTTAGATCAGTTACCCTCCAAGGCTATAGAACCCGGTCTGTCCTGCTATTTACCCATAGCTGGGGAGAAGAAAGGACGATGCTTCATATATATATATATATATATATATATATATATATATATATATATATATATACTTGGTTGTCCAGAAAGTCCTGACTCATTTAAGATGCGGAGAGAAGACAAAAACCTTGCTCTCTGTCTGGTGGGATTTTAAAAAAATTACTGCATTTGAGCATGTTCCCACGGTTGCATCATCAACTATAAACCGTATTGCCAGCAGCTAAACCGCGCATACGACAAACTGAAGATTAACATTGCTTTGCTTAATCGAGGCCGGGCTTTGTTTCATCAAGACAGTGCAAGTCCACACACTACCAGGTTGACTAAGTAGATGCTTAAACAAATGGACAGTGTTGAGATTCTTCCACGTCCACCATTCAGTCCCGATGCTGTTCGGATTTAATATGCCCTATCCCCACCCCCTAACTGGTACACTTCCTACGCGACCAGCGATTTAACACTTTTCATGAAGTGGAGGAAGCTTTTTTAGAGTTTTTTTTTTTATTAAAAGCCCGCTGACTGGTATCTGGGACACATTTGGATGCTAGCTGATTTTAAGTTTTTTATAATTATTCTGACCACAGATATGTTTGGCATGACTGAATGAACCCACTTTCCTAACAGTTGATCTAGCAATTTATTCAATATAATCTCTCTATAAACCCATGATAGACAGCAGTTAATCGTATATATGGTGGTCTCTCCTTTCGTAAACGATAAATGAGGGTCAGCATTGGATGTTACCTTTCGTTTTACACTTATGCTTGCCAGCATATATATATATATATATATATATATATATATATATATATATATATATATATATATATATATATATACTGTATGGGTTTATTTAAACGATTTATACAAAGTCCAGTGAATTCATGTGATTTTATTTTTTTAGATAGAAATACTTTTCAAGATATTTAGAAATCTGAACAAGGATGGGTACTTCGATCTTTGCTTAATTAACGCGATTAGCGATTTATTAATCACACTTCATAATGAATTCAGCTTACAGAGTTCAAGAGACTTGTATTTCAATTTTTTCTCTTTTCTTTTTTAGACACGGAAATAATTTTACATAGAAAACAGACGGATTTAAACGAACATAAGATTATAGGAGTAAATTAAGACAAAAAAAAATAAGATAAATACACAGCAAAAACAAAAAATGTCTCCAAAAGAAAGGAACGGGAAATATACATCGTTATAATAATCTAATTTATAATATAAAACAAAATCTGGCGATATATTTATCAGTGACATATACCCTATATATTAATTTCATATTTAACTGTAAAAACAGTATAAGACAAAGCTAATTAATAAACAAAACACATGTTAGAATAACTTGTAGAAACTTATTAGTAATTAAGTGCGATCAGGTTGCTAGCAAATTGCTTTTTTTTTCTTTTGTGTTAGTAACATTTGAATATTTTCTTACTTTTAATGATTTTAAAAGTATTTTTTTTACCTGTATCAATGTAGTTAAATATATAAATAAAAACTTCCTACAATTGCTCATGCAGAAAATACGACCAATTCAATCACAAAATTAAATTCAGTTGTCCGTTTCTTTTTATGATACGTATAAAATTGTTTGCTAATAAATCATAAACGTCTCCGTGTGATGTGTATTTTGTACGATATTATTTGCATATCCACACCCTTTTATCTTCTCTCTTTTTTACCTTTTCTTACTAAACTGATATGTTAATCTCACGTTGAATAGATTAGCCTCTATGCCCATTCAACAGAGACTGCTCGAAAACCACATCCGGTGTTGCCAATATTAAATACGCTGAAGTGGCGCAAACAGCTTAATCGGCAGATTTTGAACTATTATCGGGTCAGTGTCTATAGATAGATAGATAGATAGATATAGATAGATAGATAGATAGATAGATAGATAGATAGATAGATTGTATAACAAAAAGATTAGATGATAGATAGATATATATGAATAAAAGAGCATAGATAGATAGATAGATAGATAGATATATTGTTAATTTTGAACTATTATATAGATAGATAGATAGATAGATAGATAGATAGATAGATAGATAGATAGATGAAGATGAACAAAGAGCATTAGATCGATAGATAGATAAATATGATATAGATAGATAAATAGATAGATAGATGATAGATAGATAGATAGATAGATAGATAGATAGATTTTGAAAATTATCGGGATTAGATAGATAGAGATAGATAGATAGATAGATAGATAGATAGATAGATAGATAGATAGATGATAGATAGAACATTAGATAGATAGATAGATAGATTTAGAAATATTATAGATAGATAGGATCAGAAGATTTTGAACTATTATAGATCAGTGTCTATAGATTAATAGATAGATAGATAGATAGATAGATAGATAGATAGATAGATAGATAGATAGATATGAACAAAGAGCATTAGATAGATAGATAGATAGATAGATAGATAGATAGATAGATAGATAGATAGATAGATAGATCGGCAGATTTTGAACTATTATCGGGTCAGTGTCTATAGATAGATAGATAGATAGATAGATAGATAGATAGATAGATAGATAGATAGATATGAACAAAGAGCATTAGATAGATAGATAGATAGATGAATAGATAGATAGATAGATAGATAGATCGGCAGATTTAAATATTTTATGATCTATAGATAGATAGATAGATAGATAGATAGATAGATAGATAGATAGATAGAAAAAGACAGATTTTAAAGATATTTAGAAGGTCAGAATGATAGATAGATAGATAGATAGAGATAGATAGATAGATAGATAGATAGATTTTGAACTATATCGGATCAGATAGATAGATAGATAGATAGATAGATAGATAGATAGATAGATAGATAGATAGATAGATATGAACAAAGAGCATTAGATAGATAGATAGATAGATAGATAGATAGATAGATAGATAGATAGATAGATAGATATGAACAAAGAGCAATAGATAGATAGATAGATAAACAGGAAATTTACTTTAACTCTGTGAATAAAAGACAAAGAAAAATTAATTTCTTATCATGAGCTCAAAATTTCTTCCAAAAGAAATTAAGAAAATCTTAAAGAATGCAATATAAAATCTTAAACTTAGTAAAACCCGATTCGCAATTTTCCTTTGAGCCAAGTGTCTTTGTAGACAGTAAACGAAGGCAAATGAACGTGAACCTACGGTCTAGAGAAAGAAAAGAAAAGTGAATGTTTTCAAAGAAATAGAGAAAGAAAAATCAACAAAAATAGAATATAATGAAAGAGAAATGCATTTGTATGACATAATGATATCCATACTCGCTATTGTGATGACCTCGCTCCTATTTGGGTGTTTCACTGTTTTGGAACTATGTCAGACTAAATTAAGCTTAGTCAGTCTTTGGGTGTTCAACGCTCTGGAGCAATGGATTTCGAAATATTACAATAAGCAATGATTTCGATCCTCACTCATCTCTTCAAATTTCGAGCCTTTTTCCGGTCTAAGATAAATTTGATAAATGCCTGAAAGGTGGTAGAAAATGACGAAGGAATAAAGAGAAAAATTAATGGTAATATCAAAGAAAGAAAGAATTAGAAATAAGAAGAAAAAAAAAAGAAAAAATTGAAAATAAGAAAAAAAAAGAACAAAAGAATTCGAAATAAGAAAACAAAAAAAAGAAAGAAAGAATTGGAAATAAGTAAATGAATGAAAGAAAGAAAGAAAGAAAGAAAGAAAGAAAGAAAGAAAGAAAGAAGTGGAAATAAGAAAAAAGACAGAAAGAAAGAAGGGATTGGAAATAATAAAACGAAGAAAAAGAAAGAAGGAAAGTAATAATAAGAAAAAGACAGAAAGAAAGAAAATTGAAAAGAAAACCAAAGAAAGAAAAAAGAAAAACTAGAAATAAAAAAGAAAGAAAGAACGAAAGAATTGATAATATGATAACGAAAAAAAGAAAGAAGTAAAAATAATAAAAAACGAATAAAGAATAGAAAATAAGAAAACGAAAGAATGAAAGTAAAAATAAGAAAAAAGACAAAGAAGAAATAAAGAACTGGAAATAAGAAGAGGAAAGAAAGAATTGTCAAGAATAATAAGAAAGAAAGCAAGCAGGAAAAATAAAGAAATGACAATAAAATGTGTACGGCCTAAAACTGAATCGTATCCTTATAAATCAAGTTCATACACGCAGAGCTAAGTTTGATGTGAGTTGAAATGTTAATTATTGTATCCACTTCTAGAATTGTTAGAGATTTCTGTCAGATGTATTCTCTTCAACGTCATGACATAGTCAAGTGCTGACAAAGATTAAAATGTCGTCTTCTAACTTGCAACTCTCTCAAAAGAAATAACCCCGAAAAGTATTTCTCATCTTTTAATAAGTTTTTTTTTGTTTGTTTGTTTGTTTTTTAATTTTTTAAATTATCCTTGGTTTTTGAAAAATATAATATTATTCATAAATTCAGCATGCGGATTAAAGACATGTTGTTCGTTAAAGACGTTTTGTTCATTAAAGACATTTTGTTCATTAAAGACATTTTGTTCATTAAGAACAAGAAAAATTTTATATCATCTCGTTTTTTTTAAGGAAACTTTAAACATGTTTTTTTTTTCAGGAAGGTTAATTGCATTTCAATATGAATGCTGAATTACAGCTTTAGTCTCAACGGTATCACTTTGAAAATATTACTTTTATATTAATTACTTCTAAATTGCTATTTACATTGTTTGAACTGTTGTCCTCATCTTTATTCTCATATATTCGCGACGTTTCGGCCGTTATACGCTGCGGCCTTCTTCAGTTGATTGGAATTTCGAACTGAACCCTTTATTTCGTTCACCGGGATAAATTATTCTAGTTCCATGTGTCATGCCTCTTCTGGATATATCAGTTTCAGTTATCTCCCTTTAGTAACCCAACTCTCCGTTATTTTTTTTTAGTCCCTGATGTGGCCAGGTATTGAACTCACAACTATTTGCATGAAGTCACTGGATTGCTTCAACCAACGCTTTTATCCACGGGACATCATTTATCTTTTAGGAATCCCTGTTTGAATTTTGGGGACTTATGAGCCTAGTATCTCAATAATCCAATGAGTTGTGAGTTCAATACCTGGCTACAGCAGGGGTGAACAACTTGAAGAGTTGCATTAAAGGAAAATAAAGCAGATGAATCTACCCCAGTGGACGAAATAAAGGGTTCTTTTCGAAATTCTTGAAGAAGGCCGGAGAGTATAACGGCCGAAACGTCTTAAATATGGCAACAAAAATGAGGACAACAGTCTGAACCATGTAATTTGTGCAAATTGTTATAATACCACATCTCAGAAATATAGAAAGATTTTATATTATTATTTAAAATGTTTTATTAAACAAATATAACACACGTTTAATCAAATGATTGAAAACAATTCATTCTGAAAAGGAAAAGGTAAGTAATTGAATGATATTGGTCTCCTTACCCTGATATTATTTAAAACAGAAGAAATATTTTATATTAAAAAACGTTTGCATAATTATACAATTTTGTGTTACAGAGAAGTCGAAAGAAAGCTGTTAAATCGAAAGAAACTAAATTTTCATACAAAAGTAACAAATTCGATCAGTAACACGGGCTATTTTATAAAAATTTCGATGCAATCTCAAAAAATGATTTAAATGTATACCAGGTAACTTAAATCAGATCATTAGTTACCATACTTATTTATTTGTAATACCGTGACTTTTAATGTTCTCCATGTATACATTTCATTTATTATCTACGAATTGAGAAACAAAAAAGTGTACTGAACTGTTATGTAATATTAGTCCTCCTATATGGCAATAAATGTTGGACAATCTCCTCACAGATGAAGAAGAGACTTGAAGCAAGAGAAACAAAAAGAGTACTGAACTGTTATGTAATATCACTCCTCCTATATGGCAGCGAATGTTGGACAATCTCCTCACAGATGAAGAAGAGACTTGAAGCAAGAGAAACAAAGAAAAGAGTACTGAACTGTTATGTAATATCAGTCCTCCTATATGGCAGTGAATGCTGGACAATCTCCTCACAGATGAAGAAGAGACTTGAAGCAACAGAAACAAAGAAAAGAGTACTGAACTGTTATGTAATATCAGCCCTCCTATATGGCAGTGAATGTTGGACAATCTCCTCACAGATGAAGAAGAGACTTGAAGCAAGAGAAACAAAGAAAAGAGTACTGAACTGTTATGTAATATCAGCCCTCCTATATGGCAGTGAATACTGGACAATCTCCTCACAGATGAAGAAGAGACTTGAAGCAAGAGAAACAAAAAAAAAGAGTACTGAACTGTTATGTAATATCAGTCCTCCTATATGGCAGTGAATGCTGGACAATCTCCTCACAGATGAAGAAGAGACTTGAAGCAAGAGAAACAAAGAAAAGAGTACTGAACTGTTATGTAATATCAGTCCTCCTATATGGCAGTGAATGCTGGACAATCTCCTCACGGATGAAGAAGAGACATGAAGCAACAGAAACAAAGAAAAGAGTACTAAACTGTTATGTAATATCAGTCCTCCTATATGGCAGTGAATGCTGGACAATCTCCTCACAGATGAAGAAGAGACTTGAAGCAAGAGAAACAAAGAAAAGAGTACTGAACTGTTATGTAATATCAGCCCTCCTATATGGCAGTGAATGTTGGACAATCTCCTCACAGATGAAGAAGAGACTTGAAGCAAGAGAAACAAAGAAAAGAGTACTGAACTGTTATGTAATATCAGCCCTCCTATATGGCAGTGAATACTGGACAATCTCCTCACAGATGAAGAAGAGACTTGAAGCAAGAGAAACAAAGAAAAGAGTACTGAACTGTTATGTAATATCAGTCCTCCTATATGGCAGTGAATGCTGGACAATCTCCTCACAGATGAAGAAGAGACTTGAAGCAAGAGAAACAAAGAAAAGAGTACTGAACTTTTATGTAATATCAGCCCTCCTATATGGCAGTGAATGTTGGACAATCTCCACACAGATGATGAAGAGACTTGAAGCAAGAGAAACAAAGAAAAGAGTACTGAACTGTTATGTAATATCAGTCCTCCCATATGGCAGTGAATGCTGGACAATCTCCTCACAGATGAAGAAGAGACTTGAAGCAAGAGAAACAAAGAAAAGAGTACTGAACTTTTATGTAATATCAGCCCTCCTATATGGCAGTGAATGTTGGACAATCTCCACACAGATGAAGAAGAGACTTGAAGCAAGAGAAACAAAGAAAAGAGTACTGAACTGTTATGTAATATCAATTTTCCGATATAGCAGTGAATGCTGGACAATCAGCTCACAGATGAAGAAAAGACTTGGAGCGAACAAAGAAAAGTGTACTGAACTGTTATGTAATATCAGTCTACCGATATGGCAGTGAATGATGGAAAATCTCCTCACAGATAATGAAGAGACTTGAAGTAAACAAAGATTACTGAAATAGTAGGTAGTATCAGTCCTCCTATGAATACCAGACAATCTCATCACAGATGAAGAAGAGACGTGAAACAAAGAAAAGTGCCCCGAACTGTTATATAATATCAGTCCTCCGATATGGCAGCGACTGCTGGACAATCTCCTCAAAGATGAAGACGAAACTTGAAGCAACAGAAATGTCGTTTTTCAGTGAGAATACTGTGCACTGAACATGTGAGCAACGATGACGTTTTAGGGAAAATGGAAACAAAAAGGACGTTTTTACTTAACATCAATAAGAGGCAGTTGAAAATTTCTAGGCCACATAATGAGGAAAGAGAGCATGAAAAATTTGATACTCACAGGACAGTTTGAGGACAACTGGGACAGAAGATAACAGCGCAATAGCTACCTATTGACCTTGAATAAATGAATGGCGGAATAGGGTTTAGGAGAGATAGCAAAAAGACACTTTATTATGACAGGAAATTGTAAGAAATTTTAAGTAGTAATGTTACAGCGTTAGTATTTGTTGTGTCGTGGCACAATAGTAAAAATAAGAAAATCAAGTCGTAGCTGGTTTAAAGAACAAGTGTATTTAACATCACAGATATAAAGGTAGGAAACGGGTACTACTCAGCTAGGCAGTTGTAGTACTGTCGCTGCTTACACCGGGTAGGTATTACTGGCACTATATATAGTGAGAACCGGTGTAATTCCCTTGTGTTAGAGGCCGGTGCAACAGTATTTGAATAAATGAATAAGTATTAAACTTTTATCAAATAATTCTTTTTGTTATTCTTCTTTGTTTTAATATTCATGTTTTAAAAAGTATTTTTATTTTATTTAATTTAACTTTTTAAAATTTTCCTTTATTTGAACATTAATTTTTTTCATATAACTGTATTCAATATTCTTCGTTTAATTTAATTTTTGTACAAAATTAGATTGGATTATGAAATGATATTGTCGCAGTTTCCGATGTGCAGCATTTAAAATTTGATTTAATTATTTTCCAGTTTTTTAAAAGCATATTACTCTGAAATTTGTAGAGAATGAAAATGACATTAATTATATTGAAATTGTTATTTTTTTCATAGTAATATTTATTGCAATTTCGCGCATACGTAATTTGAAATGGTGCGCAGATAAATAAAAATTTTGCTAAGTGTGCCGTAATATTTTTATTTACGCATAGGAGTGCCGTTCTTTAAAAAATTTGAGAAACACTGCCGTAAATCATTATTTTTATTGATGGAGAGAAGTTTTTTTTTCAATTATTACGAATGTTTATGTAACAGACTAAGCCGGAGTTTGAACTTGATTCTCTCATTTCACTTTTCTCGCCGATTATGCCACCTTCACATCTTTTCGTAATATTAAAGATATATTATTTTAATTGCATCCAAATTGATAATCATTTTAAATATACAAAGAAATTGTAAGTTATATGAATTAAATATGAAATGATTCCTTGTCTTTAAAATAACATCACGCAGAAAATTGCCATTAAAAATAAGCAAAATTAATATTTACGTAAAGATGTACCTGAAAAAATTTATTTTGTGAAATATAGTGCGTTTAGAAATTTTTCTTTTAATTTTCAGTAATGATAAACTTAATTCTAATTATTTCATTAATTGTTGATTTTCTTATGCCTCCTGTAGTTTTCCTAAACACCTAGAACCTATATTAAAAAGTCAAACTTTGTTTAGGAAAACATATGTAGCCATGACAAACGAAAGCAGTGCATCATAGCGAGATCGTTATCGCATTTCCATAAAAATTTACTTACTTAAAGGCTAAAGCAGTTTTCAGTCCAATTTACTACTTAATAATAGTGTGTAATCTACATAGTGTTCACTCTGATAATATTGACCCGATTTTTGCATATTTGTTGCAAAATCACATCAATATTAAAAGTCAATATCGTTTGCTAATTACTACCTAAAATAATGGTATAAGTGCACTAACTCTTTTGTTCTGTAAAAATGCATTTAGCATATATTTTTACATAAATTAAATTTTATAAAGTACCTGGATGTGACAAATTTTTGTACAGAAATTTATTTGCAGACCGCTACGACTTCCAACCAGATACCTTTCTTTATTTATTTATCTAAAATTAATCATGATATAAATCATAATTATTTTTAAAATGTTCATGATAGTTAGAGGTTGACTGAGAGTTTCGTCATTATGCACTCTTCAGAACCCAGATAATGATACTAATAATAATGATACTAGCCCCTATGGAGTAATCACGAAACTCTGATAATTTTTATTAATTACTGCTCTAGATAACTATTGAGTTTTTCATTGGCAGAATGTGTTTGCCTCGATAGATGTTGAATTATATAAATTTCCGTATATCAATAGGTGTCATCATTATTAATGTTTTCATTGTTATTTTATTCTAGTTTAATATAAATTATATAAACTGGAATTAACTTTATGTCGAGCTTAGCTGTCGCCTTTGGCCGTATTTAACGTGTATTTAGTAAGAATATACATGTTAGCAAAAATACGTGCATCTTAGAAATACACCAGCAAAAATAATGTTAATAGTATTCTTAAAGATTATATCCTATCAGAAACATAAAGATTCCTCACTATAAATAGTCTATAAATAAACAAATCGATTGGACACTATTTTTTCTTGTGACTTGATTTAACGAGGTCTTCCTAAAATTTGGCATGTTGACAGCTGATCTCAAATGCATACAAATTATAATTTGTAAATCATAATCTGCACTAAGAAAATATTGATATCCGATATCAGCCTGTATTAGGATTAATAACAATTTATGATAATGTGATATCGTATATTTAAAGAAGTAATTATAAAGACCACGACTACCAAATATTATAATGTCTAAGAAGTCTATCTCACATATTATTGCTACTAAAGCAAATTCAATTCTTACTGGTTCCGTGTAATGGTAACATTAGCTGTTTCTGTTTAAGGAAACACAGAATTCATTGATTGATGAGCCAGTCCTATACGTTATGCTTTTATTCATTTCCAGGCCATCAGACTTGTAGTAATCAGAAAGATTTTTTTTATTATATCGCACGTTATTTTTAGTGGATACTCGTATTTGAATCGACGCCCCGTTTACTTATTAAATATTATATTTATTTCGTCTACCGGCCTGAACGTTCAAGAAACGTTATTAAAGCAAAATCTCAAACATTCAGGCCGACAGGCGAAAATAAATAAATATACTGCTTAATAAATAAACGGAGCGTGTACTCTAATACGGGTATTCCTGGGTATGACGATAAACGACATCCGGCAACATGGCCATGATCGGGTGGTTTTGAGGAGCGTGGAACTATCTCTTAATTGCTGTTATTCTTGGTCTATTCTGAACCGTGGTTATAGCACCTGTTATAGTCCAAACTATGGGCAAATAGTGAACTACACGAACTGGGCTCAAAACACTATGAAAGTATTCTTATAGTAAAAAATTTCAGTAGTTGATTTTAATAATAAAAACTTACAACAATAGATTTTAATAGTGAAAAAAAAAAGAGATCGAGCAATAGATTTTAATCGAAAAAATTACCAAAGCTCCCCCTAAAATTAGATTTCGGCATTAAATAACTTATAAAGAGTTGATATACAGTAAACGAAACGAAACGAAACGAAACGAAACCAAACCAAACCAAAACGAGTATCCACTAAAAATAACGTTTAAATTAATAAAAAAATTGTCGGATTAATAAGAATTCATTACTTTTTTTAGAAAAATTGCTTTGTTTACTTTTGGATACGGAACTGTACAAATATGAAGCACAGTGGAGTAATGGCTAGCGGCTCGTATTGATGAATCGGAGAGCCGAGTTCGAATTCCAGTCAGATACATTACATTCACTTACGTGCTAATACTTTTGGGAAAGGTGTGAATACTCTTCTTCTCTGTTATGGGTAAATAGTAAGACAGACCACAGAAAGAAATGACAACCAGCTGCGGGATAAAAATCTTCCTCGTCAGTCATGTATCGAAAGATACATGATCGCCTAAACCTGTATCACGCATAGCACCTAACTGACTGACAAATATGAAAAAAATTCAGGCGATATGTGACGAGAGAAATTCTTACAGTATGTATACGGATGTATTCAGTAAATCAAGGCTGAATGTAATTTTTGCCTGTGACGAGTTTAATATATAATCAAACAAGTAATTCATACACGTCAAAGGTTCACTCAGTTTTGTATGGCCATTATTATACTATCACTGAAGATCTTGATATAATAATAATATCTTAATCCTATTTTCACAAACTAATAATATACACTCCTGATCAAAAATTTAAGACCACTTGAATTTTTTTTTTAAAAAGACTGTTTTTCATTGAAAAATTTTAAACATTTCTTACTTAAGGTTACTAATTTTATAATCTAAAAGGTTATGTAGACAAAAAGTGAGAATCCGAACATTTTATTGAGAAATTGACATTTTTATAAAATGAGGCGTTTTATACTTGATCAAAATTATAAGACCAGGGACAAAAATTCTACGAAATTGTACGAAAAGTGTACAAAAACATTTAACAACCAAATTTAATAATGAGTTCTACCTCCACTGGCTTTAATGACGTCAAAAATTCTTTGGGGCATGCTAGAAATTAGTGTTTCCATTAAGATGCGAGGAATATTGCTCCAGCTTCTGGAGATAGTTTCACTAAGTTCATTTTTTGTTGAATATTGTTTGCCATTTCGATAAACATCTCTTGCCATCCATCCCCAAACTTGGGTTCAAGTCCGGTGAGCATGCAGGATGTCTCAAGAGATGGACCCCATTTTCTTGTAGAAAAGTTTTCAGCATTATCCTGTTGGAATAAGCATCCACCCCCTTACAAACGATGGTCCTTCGTCACCAACGATGCTTTTTGTAGCATTCTAACATAACCAGACGCTGTCTGACGACCCTGCACCACCTGGAGCTCTATCGTCCCTCTGTAAGAAAAGGCACCCCATACAATTAAGGAAACTCCACTACTATGACGTATGAAGAAAATTTCAAGCCTGTTTTTGTTATACAAGTATCGTTGGAATCCAGCAGAACCATCTAGATTGATTTTTTTCTCATCAGAAAACATCAGAAAACAGGACTTTCTTCCACTTCTCAGTGTCTCATGTTTGGTATTCACGACCAAACCTTAAACGGTTTACTTTGTGACGTGGAAGCAGCCGAGGAATTTGTTTGCGCTTTTTATTTACTATGTCTTTTTGTCGTAAGTGTCGTCTGATGGTTACTGGACTGCAATAAATTTTGTGGCTGCCTTAATTTGACTAGAAGAAAGTCCACTGGCTTTCACAACAACCTGTCTTATTCTCCTACTCAATGCCGGAGAAATTTTGATGAACCTATCAGTAGACTTTGCGTTCCCATAATTCGCACTGTCCTTTAGAAAGTTGCAAATCACAGTTTTACTGCGATTTACCTTAGCTGCGATCGCCCGCTATGACAAATCTTGATTATGGAAATCTAGAATTCGAGCACGCTCATCCTCGGTAAGTTTGCTTGCTTTAGGCATGGTGACACCTTTATCCAGTGATTGCTAATTTCTAACTGAACTAAAAACATTGGAATTACCCTAGATCTAACAATTTATACACCCCTGGTCTTATAATTTTGATCAAGTGCAAAACGTCTCATTTTATAAAAATGTCAATTTTTCAATAAAATGTTCGGATTATAACTTTTTGTCTACATAACCTTTTAGATTATAAAATTAGTAACCTTAAGTAAGAAATGTTTAAAATTTTTCCATGAAAAACAGCCTTTTTAAAAAAATTTCAAGTGGTCTTAAATTTTTGATCAGGTGCGTATTTAATTACTAATGACCATTTAGGATAAATTGATAATTTTATTTGTTTTACTCATGTTTTTAAAAAGAAAACTTATTTGATATTTACTAAACTTGCTTATGGCTAATCAGCAGCTTCATGGCAAGATTGATTGATTCGTTTGTTTTTTATAGCTTCTCAACCTTCTGCACGTTATTTAAAGCCAGAAAAATATTTTTTAGAATGTAAGAATTTTTTAATGAATCCGATAGAAATTGGAATTCAGTTCTCTGATTCCCATTTCCGATCCATTGTTTATTATAGTACCCACAAGCTTAGGGCACCTGATATTCCAAAACGGTCAACCATCTAAGTACTGACTAGGCTAGACGTCACTTAATTTCGGTGATCACACGGGAACCAGTGTTTGAACATGATATTAACTTCAGCTTTTATGGCACGAGGCTTTATCCCTGTTGAAACTTGACTAATGCATGGAATAATAATGCAACACAAAATGTACTTAGAACAAAATGTATTGAAACAAGAAAGTGTACACAATATTTACATATAGTCTTTTGTATATTCCTGGTAAGACCGTTCCTGGAGAATGTGTTGACTGAGTCGCAGTCGGGCAGAGTCTCTGGTTGAATCTCTTGATTCCTCCCTCTCTTCCCGGTACCAACCACATTTATATGGTCGGTACACCACTATGCAAATTAGGTGGATCCTACCACAACAATCCCCATAGATGGAAGTTTTCTCTATATCATATTTTTATATATACTTGTCTTAATATTTAATGCTGAAGAATGAAATTCTTCTAATTATCTTATATTTATTAGTAAAATGATGTTTGAGAATTTGTACGAATAAGTACATACAAGTTGTTTCAGAATTTTTTAAACAAAATGATCAGAAACAAAGCCAGTCTACCACAAATGATAGAGTAATGGAAATGAGATTTATTGAAAGTTAAAAGGATAAAATATTAGAATCTGCAACCATTTAGTCTCAAACATTAACCAAGAATCTCAACAGGAACCTTAGAGTACATTTCTCCAGATGTCCGCCGTTCAGTTGAAGGCAATGTTGAATGCAAAGTTATTGATAACGCGTGCACATTCCTCCTGGCTGATCGCTTGAATCTTCTCAGTGATGACTGCTTTCAATAGTGCAAAGATGGTAGATGTTGTCCCTGAGAAACACCCAAAGGAAGAAATCGCGAGGGTGCGGATTCAGGTCAGTCGAGTGAGGTGCCCATTCTACTTCAGGTTTACTGCTGATGAGACACTCCCCAAACTTTTTACGGAGCCATACCATGATAATAATAGGAGTGTGAAGAGGAGCACCATCCTGCTGGAACCACTATTCCACCTCATCAAGGTACTCACCCTCCTCAATCTCTCCCCATCTGAGAGGCTGCTGCTTTGTTTCAACAATTGTGAAACACCCTGTATGTGTACATCTACATCGATTTACAGCTGTGTTGTAGGATGCATGTCAATATGACATGTTAAGTATATATATATATATATATATATATATATATATATATATATATATGTCAAAAATGTATGCAGCCAATTATTTCTGTCCAGAGAGGGATCTGCATACGCAGGGGTATATTTTTTCAAAGCTTAGTTTTAAGTTACGCCACACGAGTGGGTCAGTAGAAATTTAACTTGCTAAATATATACCATTAGTATCTGTCAATAACACATGGCACAGTGGATAAAGGCGTTAGTTAGATCCAGTGACAGGACCCAAAGTGTGTGAGTTCAATACCTGGTTAAGGCAGTGGAGAACTTGGAGAGGGGAATTAACAGGAAATAACTGATAACTGACATCCATTAGATATGGCACGCGGAACTAGAACAGTCTATCCCAGCGAGCTAAATAAAGGGTTCAGTTCGACATTCCAACCAACTGAAGAAGGCCGGAGCGTACAACGGCCGAAGCGTTATGATAAATATGGCAACAAAGATGAGGACAATAGTCCGAATAATGTAAATAGTTAAACATATACAATGTCAAATGTTATACAAGCCAATGTTTTCAGAATACAATTAGTATTAACCAATTAATTTCGGTAAAAATATTCAGAATATAACATAATGGTGATTTTCTAGGCGTACCCTAAATGTGAGACAAGGACGAAAGTGTCGAACACCCAGTGAGGATCGAACTCACTACTCATTCATAATTGTTCTAGCGAGACAAGCTTGCTAACCATTATACCACATCGAAATACCATTGATTTTCTAGAAGTAGTTTAGATGTAAGACAAGGCCGAAAGTATGGCGCACGCAGTAACTATCGAACTCACCAATAAAAGGTATTTGATCTAGCAAAACAAACTTGCTACCCATTACACCGTGTTGTAGTGCTCATATATAAATGATATTTAGTTTACAATATCTGTTTTTATTTATGCAGTATTAACAGTAGTTTATTTGATCGTATAATGATAATCTATGTTTATCCATTATATTGTAAAGTTAAATCTATCTATAAAAGGCAGGATGTGTGTGTGTGTGTGTGTGTGTGTGTGTGTGTGTGTGTGTGTGTGTGTGTGTGTAACGAATGCACGGCCGCAATTTTCGACGGATTTGCACCAAAATTTACACGCACATGCGGGAAGGCCAAGACCGACTTTGCATTTCCCAACTCCCATCGATAGTGGAAATAATCGATTTTTTCATGTTTCTACAGCAGTTTTCATGTAGTTTGCGGCCATTTTCTACTAGCCAGAGTGAGAGCCTATAGCTGACTGCCACGAATAGGCAGGAAGATTCTATTGGCCAGAGTGAGAGCCAACAACTGACTGACACGAATGTTAACTAGCATGCTAGCATGCAAAAACAAATCGATAGCTGCATTCGTCACAAGTGGGAAAAATTTAAATCTGCAAGACACTTTACTCCAATTGGCTCATTCGCTTGCTTAAACTCAACGTTGATTCTGATTCCGCAGAATTGGGTTGGGTGTGAAAAAGTATTTGTTGTTAATATTCTTTTTTCATTCGGTTTTTTCAGTTACGAGTCCTTTTTTAAATCTGATCGTTTTGTGTTCATTTTGTTTAGTTCTTTTTTCGTAACAGAAAGTAATGTGAGATAGGCAAGAAGTAAGGCATGTAGCAACATCAGCACGGAAAAGGGCACTCCTTTAAAGGCAAGGAAGGGCAAAAATATTTTAAGTCAAGTGATAGCGATTGATGTATGAGTCGTACGATTTTTTAATCAAGCACGGGCAACGCCGTGCCAATGCTGCTAATGTTAAAATATATGGCCTTTCCCTGGCCTATATAATTAGTAGTTATCATAATAAAACCATACAACTCCAATATAAGTTATTATCAATATTTTAATAGGAACAGATATCATTTTACATGATAAAATCTACCATGGTATAAATACTCACACATACGCTCATACAAATACACCTATTTATATTAATTTATAAACTAAATTTTATGTACTTTTATATACAACTATGTATTTCATATACGTTATAGGTATACGTGTGTAAGTGCAAATCTGAAAACAAATGAATCTTGGTAACTACCTTCATAGAAGTCTATGCGTATGCATTTTTGTGTTTAGCTTTCAAGAGTTTGTTAGTATATGTATGAATTATTGTATATGCGTGTTTTGTTAATATATATCTAAATATGTTCTTCTTTATTCTATATATGTATGTATGTCTGTGTCTGTGTATGCGTGTACGTGAGTGTACGTACATATATATATATATGTTTGTGCAAGTGTGTGTTTATTATGTATGCATATGTGTGTCTGTGTATGCGTGTATGTGAGTGTACGTACATACATATATCTATGTTTGTGCAAGTGTGTGTTTATTTTTCGGGTTCTGTTTATAGACTTGCACCCATGTGCAGCTATCCTTTTAAACACACGCACACACACGCTCAACTATTTGCATAGTCACATATAAAATAGTGTGGTATATGTGTTTATGTGTATGTGTGTGTGTGTGTAAGTTTCTGAGACATTGTGTGGGAATGTAGGGAAGGGATAGGGGATAAGGAATGGAAGTGAAGAGTCTCAGAAAATGAAAATAAAGAACCAAAACACACAGTATTAAGAAGATTATGTTGTGGAGATTAAAAATTCTATTTCAAAGACAATTGTAGTAGATATTTATACCACGGCGGTATTTTAGATTTTGCAAGTGCAACAACAAACAAAACTATAGAAATGCAAAAAGAAATGGTTGACCAGTTTTTTTTTTGTTTTTTTTTTAATCTATATTCGAAGGTTCGAATTTGAAACAACATATTTTTAAATCTTTATTTGAACAGTCATAGTTAAGAAAATTACTTCAATGCCATTTAACCAAAGTCCTCATCAAAGAGTAATTCTTGAATTATAATCAAGTTTTGCTCTTATTATTTAGGGACAAGAAGTAGTGAGGTATGTCTTAGCGTATACTTCTGTAGCGTTATCCTTAGTCATAGGGAGAAAGTTATTATACCGTCAGTTTTGAGAGGTGAGTGAGAAGTGTGTACATTGGAAAAGTCAGGTTTTAGATAAAAATGGGTGGAACGGGAATAAAGAGGTTAGCCAGAGAAAAGAGGAAAGTATGAAACGCTATTCTATAGAAACTACCAATATTAGTATTAAAGATCATTGTATTGAGCGACATAATACGGTTTGATGGAGGTGGTGGCATCAGAGGTGATAGTGTCAAAGGAAATGAGAGACAGGATTTTTAGACGGAAGGGATAAAGAAGAAAAAGAGAAATAAAAGAAATTTAAGACAAGCATATAAAAAAACAGCCAAAATGAAAAATACACACACACACACACACACACACACACACACACACACATATATATATATATATATATATATATATATATATATATATATATATATATATATATAATTTGATGATTAGATTAGAATAATACGGAGAAACAAACAAGTGAACAACGAAACCTTTCTGAGACGTGTTTTAAAATGAAATGCAAAAGAAAGAAAAATGAAAGTTTGAAAATGAATTCGGCGTATGCATACAAATTTGAAAGCGTGGGCATGAAATAAAAGGTATTTGTTTTTCACTTCTGAAGAAATTGACGCGATCCAAAGATCCTGGTTCTCCCAGAAGACATAAAAGGGTTAGCGAAGTTTTCAGATTTACTTTTTCAAAAACTCATTCAATTTTACTTCCACTTTGTCTACCACTCTCTCTCTCTCTTTCTCTCATATTTTTTTTTACTCTTTCTCCCAGTCTCTACTCGTAAATGAATTCTTTCTTTTCTCTTATCCCCTAAAATTTACACATCGGTATTCTCAAATCCACATTCGCACATATGCACGCATATGTAAATAGTTATATTAAATATGTTTCTCTCTGTTTTCTCTTTCATTTTTTTCTGTTCCCTTCTCTCCTTACTCTCCTTATATTTGGCTTGTTTTCAAATTTCCGTTTCTCACTCATAGTTTTTGTCCCCTTTTCTGCTTACACTTGTCTTCAAAATATCTTATGTTACTCTTTCATTCTTTCAGTTCCTTTCTCTCCTTATATTTACTAGTCTTCAAAGTGTCCTCCATTTTCTTTCATTCTTTTTATCCTCTTCTCTCCATACTTTCCTTGTAGTGAACATGTGTTCAATGCATAACTCGTTTTTCTTTTCATTCTTTATGTTCACTTCTCCTTTAGGATGTGTGGATGGCGTAATGAATAGGAGCTCAGAATTAGAACCCGGAGAACAGAGTTCAAATTCCAGTCTGGTTCATTACATTCACTTACACGCCTTAGGACGGTCCGAATTCATTTCCTCTCTCCAAATATAGTCAGTCAGTTAAGTGCCATGTACAGAAATTTAATTAACAGGAAAGTATTTCAATAACCGACGGAAATTATGACACAAAAATCTGGAGGTGCACTGGAATTTCAAAAGATACCTTCCAAAAGATAAACGAAATATACTTCTTCTTTGTTCGGCATTTCGCTTCAGAACATTGGCGATCATGGCTCTCCACAATTTCCTGTCCTTTGTTGCTCTTAATAAATTTTGTATTTTTGTTATCACTCATAAACATTTCTCCGCCAAGATAGATAGATAGATAGATAGATAGATAGATACTAAAATAAGTAATTAGATAAAGAATTATTACATAGATAGATAGATAGATAGATAGATAATGAACAGATTTAGATAGATAGATAGATAGATAGATACTAAAATAGGTAACTAAATAAAGAATTATTACATTGATAAAACGATAGATAGATAGATAGATAAAAGCCTAAAATAGATAATGAACAGATTTAGATAGATAGATAGATAGATAGATAGATAGATAGATAGATAGATAGATACTAAAATAGGTAACTAGATAAAGAATTCTTACATTGATAAAACGATAGACAGATAGATAGATAAAAGCCTAAAATAGATAATGAACAGATTTAGATAGATAGATAGATAGAAAGGACTACGATATACATTTTGTAGAGTATGTTTTCAGATATACAGTTTGCAGAGAAGTTAGTTTGATCGACATTCTCATTTGGTTTATATATTTTCGTATAGGCCCACTGTTTTAAGAAATAATATTATGTCACCCTTTTTTGCTTTATCAAAGCGCTAATACGTGTTTTTTATATGTATTGATTTTGGTTTTATTGTTACCTATCGATAAAAGTGTAATTTAGTTTAAAGAAGTCCTTGCAAAGCACGAAATGTGTAACAGATTTTTTCCTTTTTTCATTCATCTACACACTATTAGCTCGACATATAGTTTGTATATCACACACACACAGAGACACACACACACACACACACACACACACACATATATATATATATATATATATATATATATGACGTATTATATTTAAGGATTATTTAGACATAAACATTACTTAAATCTACACACAAAGACACGCACATACACACACACACACACACATATATATATATATATATATATATATATATATATATATATATTATCACTTTAAAGGTTATTTTTACTGGATGCTTACTTGAGTAGATGCTCCGTTTCTTTATTAAACAATATATTTATTACCATCTACCGTCCTGAATATTATTTTAAAAAAATACGTTCTCCGGCAGAATTCGAACCTCTACCCCCTGCAAGGAGAACCGGTCGTTAGATCCGTCGTGCTTTGGCTAACTCGGGCACGAAGAGTGCAAATTGTCATTTTCAGACTCTCGAACCTTCATATCAGCTTAATGTAAACAAATAGATATACAGGTACAAATTATAGCAACTACTTAATAGCCTTATGCATGCACATGCATATTCGAACGTATCAATACAAATATATATTCCTCACGTTTGTCATACAGTGAGAAAATATGTACATTCGTGATTAAGCTATATATATATATATATATATATATATATATATATATATATATATATATATACATATATATATATATATATTTATATATATATATATATGCATATATATATATATATATATATATATATATATATGGAGAGAGAGAAAAGAAAGCTAGCTAACTAGATAGATATTTTTAAGACATTGTATGTTTATACATTCTTTTTATTGATATAAATATTTAAGTAAATGCGTAAATGCTCTGTTTTATAATAAGATAAAATGTCTTAAAATAATTGTCGGACGTCATTTGTTTACATTTGGATACGCTTTGAGCAGATATGAATGTACGTGAGAGATTCATAGAAGATTGAAGTTTAAAGGCAATAAATTCGACCTTGCTAATCCAACGATCCTCTGTGGTTCGATCGGTTAAGAGCACGTCGGGCTAAATGACGGTTCTGTATAGGATACAGATTCGATTCCTGTCGATGGACGAATATTTTCTATGAAAATTTCTCGGACATTCAGGCCGATAAGTGTTATAAATACTGTTTATTATAAAACAGAGCATTTACTTAAATATTTGTATCTATAAAAAGAATGTATAAACATAAAATGTCTTAAAATAATTGTCGGACTTTGTCCATTTCATAATATATAGATATATATATCGATATAAAGAGAGAGATATTTAATAGACCGGTTAATAATATTTGAAGAATAAAAAAGCTAAGAAAATGATGCCAATATTGGCAATAAATAGATATTTATTATATATTAACCTTTTACCTGAATTGAAGCACAAAGGCAAAGATTTTCTTGACAGAATTTTCGAACATGCCTGTGTTCTTTTTCAACTATTCAAAGATTTTGTTTTAATTTGGTGTCGGTTCCCCGGACTAGTGATTCATGGGAAAAAGCTACTCGATTAGACGTTATTTTTCATTAATGGAATACGAATGGAATGAGGGTGGTTCTTTACAATGGGTGTGACATTGCGGGTCTTAGCCGTAAATGTTAGAACTGGTAAAACAGAGGAATATGGTTTATTTGAACATTTTCCATGGAAATAGCGATAGAGCAGCGAAAGGCTTGCGGAAAAAGGATTGTAGGATGGAAAAATAATTCGTCGCCCACAAAGACGAGGAGATGATTTTGGACTATATCGAAATTGTAAAGACTGAGCAGCTCCTGCCCATATACTGTAGCAGTACCCCATTTTTTGGCTTGATGTGGATATGATAAAGGTAGAGGATAGCAGGAGGAGCTAGGTACTTACTGGAGCAGTACAGGGAACCGACCATTTTTCCAGCATCTTATATATATATATATATATATATATATATATATATATATATATATATATAAATCCCACTTCTGGATTGAGTTGAAACTGAAATATACTCAAAAGGTATATTTTCTTAGTTTATATTTATGCTCAAAAGTAATAGAATCGATTGGACCAAAGACTGATGACTAATGATGGCTAGTAATGACTAATGATGACTAATAATAACTAATAATGGCTAATAATGATTAATGATGGCTAATAATGATTAATGATGGCTAATAATACCTAATGATGACTAATGATGACTAATGATGATGAATAGTAACAAATAATGACTAATGATGGCTAATAATGACTAATGATGACTAATGATAACTAATGATGATAATGATAGCTAATGATAACTAATGATGGCTAATGTTGACTAATAATAACTAATAATGACTAATGATGACTAATAATAAGTAATGACGAATAATTACTAATAATGACTAATGATGACTCATAATAACTAATGATGCCCACTAATAACTAATAATGTATAATTATGACTAATAATAACTAATAATGACTAATGATGGCTAATAATAATTAATGATGACTAATAATAAATAATGATGACTATTGATGATTAATAATAGGTAATAATGACTAATGATGACTGATGATGACTAATAATGATTAATGATGACAAATGAAGCATAAAATGAGTACCTCTTTCTCTTCATAAAAATAAAAGTGAGATCAATATATGGATATATAGAAAGCAATATAAAAATGTAGAGAGATTGATAGAGAAATACTGAGATATAGAGATATGGAAAGAAATAGAGACAGAATAAGAGATATAGATTGAGAGACAAAGATATAAAGAATATTTTTTTTCTTTTCTTTATCAATCTCCTTTTAAGGAGACAGATAAAAAGAGTCACATCGAAAAAGTGAAATAAAAAATTCAGATAGAAGAAAGGAGACGGAAAGATATAGCCAAGGAGAAGCAGACAAAGGGAAGATAGACAGAGAGTCAGAGAAAGGGAGAATATAGAAAGACAGAGAATTGGATATACATGATAAGTACAAAGAGGCTGAGAGAAAAAGGAGCTAATATGAGAAGTGAGAAAGACATTAAAATAAAGAGACAATGAACATACAATAATTATTGTAGTCGAAATCGCTGCAAGGTAGGGGTTAAAGGGTGTATTTTTCTATCCCGCAGGGTGGATCGCAGTAGAAAAAAACTTGACCATAAAGCATCGGTCAAGTACCTAGAATTGACTGCTGAAACAGAAAAACAGTGTCAAAGGTCATAATTCATTGTGAATTTGAAAGCATTTTAAATGATCTGCGATTATAACTCTCCATTAAAATTATATATATATATATATATATATATATATATATATATACACTAATCCATTCATATAAAGTGTGAATATGTACGATTGCGTATCTATATAAATATGTCTATAGAAGTAGACACATGTGTGCGTTTGTGCATCTGTATTCGTTTCTGTGCATGAATGTATATATAAACGCATGTTAACAGCCAATTCTGGTTTTGCTTCATTTAACCAATACAAAAGAAAGAAAAATAAAAGAAATGATGTGGGCAGGTGCGAATTATATCTAAAAGATCACATGAACATTTTAAGGCGAGTGACCCGGCATCACCTACTTGTCACGTGTGTCTAAATTATCACGTTTGCCTTTTCTGTGACTAAGTTGAACCTTGTAATTGAATATGGGTTGTAATAAAAGATTTAATACATTGACCTGACGACACTCAGACGAACACTAATGAACACACAAACACGCGCTAAATCAAAGATATATATTTGAGACGAAAGCAGAGTGTCAAATTAGGGCTAACAGCCTTCTGATGCTGTTGCCCGGGCATGTCTGGCAGTGATACGGAGAGTGGTTTATTCAGATACTCAGTAAACAATTTTCTGTGTAAACTACTGTGGCATGTCAAGACGTAGCGCAGTAAGAAGTGGATTTTATCATCTTAACCATCAACGAAAAGATAATATATAAACCATCAGTCTGTAATCTAAGAATGTTTGAGTACACCATCACGCACTCCTCTCCACCATGCTCATATGGGAGAATAAGTATAAACAATATGTACATGAAATGTTTTTGATATTTACGCATTGTTCTTCTTTGTCCGTGTCCCATCAAGACGTTGGCGATCATGGCTCTCCACAATTTCTTCTCCTTTGTAGCTCTTAATAAAATTTGTCTTATTCTTATCTCTACTAAATCTAGTTCTGTCAGCCATTTACTCAAGCTCATTCTTCTTCTTCTGCTATGTGCCGTGTCCCTTCAGGACGTAAGCGATCATGGCTCGCCACAATTTCCTGTCCTTTGTAGCTCTTAATAAATTTTGTCTTTTTCTTATCTCTCCTAAACCTTGTTCCATCATCCATTTACACGAGCTCATTCTTCTTCTTCTATGTACCGTATGCCTTCAGGGCGTAAGCGATCATGGCTCTCCACAATTTCCTGTCTTTTGTAGCTCTTAATAAATTTTGTCTTTTTCTTATTTCTCCTAAACCTTGTTCCATCATCCATTTACACAAGCTCATTCTTTTTCTTCTATGTACCGTATGCCTTCAGGGCGTAAGCGATCATGGCTCTCCACAATTTCCTGTCTTTTGTAGCTCTTAATAAATTTTGTTTTTTTTTATCTCTCCTAAACCTTGTTCCATCATCCATTTACACAAGCTCATTCTTCTTCTTCTATGTACCGTATGCCTTCAGGACGTAAGCGATCATGGCTCTCCACAATTTCCTGTCCGTTGTAGCTCTTAATAAATTTTGTCTTTTTCTTATCTCTCCTAAACCTTGTTCCATCATCCATTTACACAAGCTCATTCTTTTTCTTCTATGTACCTGTATGCCTTCAGGACGAAAGCGATCATGGCTCTCCACAATTTCCTGTCCTTTGTAGCTCTTAATAAATTTTGTCTTTTTCTTATCTCTCCTAAACCTTGTTCCATCATCCATTTACACAAGCTCATTCTTTTTCTTCTATGTACCGTATGCCTTCAGGACGAAAGCGATCATGGCTCTCCACAATTTCCTGTCCTTTGTAGCTCTTAATAAATTTTGTCTTTTTCTTATCTCTCCTAAACCTTGTTCCATCATCCATTTACACAAGCTCACTCTTCTTCTTCTATGTACTCTATGCCTTCAGAATGTAAGCGATCATGGCTCTCCACAATTTCCTGTCCTTTGTAGCTCTTAATAAATTTTGTCTTTTTCTTATCTCTCCTAAACCTTGTTCCATCATCCATTTACACAAGCTCATTCTTTTTCTTCTATGTACTGTATGCCTTCAGGACAAAAAGCGATCATGGCTCTCCACAATTTCCTGTCCTTTGTAGCTCTTAATAAATTTTGTCTTTTTCTTATCTCTCCTAAACCTTGTTCCATCATCCATTTACACAAGCTCACTCTTCTTCTTCTATGTACTCTATGCCTCCAGAATGTAAGCGATCATGGCTCTCCACAATTTCCTGTCCTTTGTAGCTCTTAATAAATTTTGTCTTTTTCTTATCTCTCCTAAACCTTGTTCCATCATCCATTTACACAAACTCATTCTTTTTCTTCTATGTGCCGTGTCCCTTCAGGACGGAGATAATCTGGCCCCCCCCATTTCTTGTCCTTTGTAGCGCTTATTAAATTTTGTCTTTTTGTTATCTCTCATAAACCTTGCTCCAACAGGCATTTATTCAAACTTGCTACATAGGTTACGCATTGATTTCCTCTTGCCTTCAATTTGCCTTGTGAGTATCAAATATTCCAAGCTAAGCACTCTTTCCTAATGTGCCCTTGAAATTTCAAGTGTCGCTTACTACAACTACTTTGTACAAATCACCTTTTTGGTTCCATTTTCTCTAAAACTTATTTGTTCGGTCCATGGTATTCTCAGCACTCTTCTGTAGAACTGCATTTATGTTGTTTCAAGTGTTTTCTTTGTCTATGGAGGAGATTGTCCAGCCTACACTGCCATAAAGGAGAATTGATACTACAGTTCACTACTCTTTTCTTTGTTTCTAACGAAATTTTTTGGTTTCTTAATACTTTGCTTTGCATTTGGAAGGCATCTTTGCTATCTAAATTCGCCTTCGGATTTCGGTGGATGTCTTTCTACCATCTGTTTAAACACTTCCAAGATATTTAAATTGTTGTTGTATTTGTTTGATTTTATCATCGCTAATTTTTAATCTGCATGTTGGGATGGTGCTGTTGCTAACAGCTATGCTTTCTGTCTTGTAATATTGTATATTACTGTAGTACACACTCACACACACACACACACACACACACACACACATATATATATATATATATATATATATATATATATATATATATATACAGTGTAGCAGATATTCAAATTATCCTTGATAAATTGTCTGAAACAACGAAAGCATTTGGACTCACTATCAATATAAAGAAGACTGAGCTAATGTAGCAGCAAGTACCAGGCAATCCATCTCTCACAAATCCTTACGTATTCATTAATGGTACAGCATTAAAAACTGTTGAGCTGTTCACATATCTTGGACCAAGAGTCTCTTCTGATAGAAAAATGGACAGAGAAATACAATCCAGAATAACCAAAGCTAGCACAGCATCCAGTAAAATTGAACATAGGTTATGGAACACCAAAGACGTGAAGAGTAAAGGTCTACATATACAGATCAGTCGTTCTCTTAACCCTTGTGCTGAAACTTGGACCGTGTAGCGCAAGCACATAAATCAACTTGAGTTCTTTCACATGCGCTTACATCGTTCCATATGTAATAAAAAAGAATAGTGAAATATTAAAAATAATGTAACAACATCACAGGCATTGAAACCATTCTAGAAAAGATACAATTTAGGTGGGCTGGTAAGAATGGATGAGAATAGGCTTACCTGAGAAACCAAACACACACACACACACACATATATATATATATATATATATATATATATATATATATATATATATATATATATATATATAAAGAAAGAACAGTAAAGATATATAACCCGGTGTTCTTATAGATATTTTATTTTTACAAAATAAGTGCTCATGCAATAAATTTACAAGCATTAATATCATAAATTAATTGATTTAAAAATATGTTTTTTCGCTACATAGTTCTAACCATGTTTCAAAAACTTCCATTTTGAAACATGGTTAGAACTTATTTAATAAAAAAACCATATTTTAAATCAATTAATTTTAATATCATATATATATATATATATATATATATATATATATATATATATATATATATATATAATATAAATAAAGATATAACCTAAATCTGTGATAGATCGCATCCCCAAAACTGTGAATATGTTCTTCTCTCGTCTGTTACCCCTCTCTATAGCTTTCATTTACTCTAACATTCGTCCAAAACTCTCATACATACACTCTCACTAAATTTTATTTTTTTATTCCCGGAGTTATTTTTTCTGATTTCTTTTTAAATTTGTAGGTCTGTTGAATTGGATCGTATTTACGATTCCAATGGAATAAATTATGACCAGTGGATATTAGTGTTTAAGCCTTTTTATTATATCCTTACTCTGTCCTGGATAATGAGTTCTTACCTGGATTCTATCCTCTTGGAATAATTTATATATATATATATATATATATATATATATATATATGTGTGTGTGTGTGTGTGTGTGTGTGTAGGTGTAGATTTTATATATATATATTTTTTTCTGTCTACTGTTTCCTCTATTTTAAAATTCTTCACCGTTTTCTTGATGGTTCGTGAATAAACTTTGAAGATGGAAGCCAGAGTTGGTACCATTACTAAAAGCTTTACTGATTTTTTTTTTTTCTCACCGTTGAGAAGATATATTTGGGCTGACACAAAATGATTTTGACCTGTTCTTTTTCTAGCTGAATAGCTCAAAGTTTTTTTTTCAGTGATTCTTATGATAAATGGTGTCATGATGGCTAAACGTCTTTTCTGAAAACATGGAAAAAAAACTTAAATTAGCTTAATGTTTTATTTAGATATTAAGCATGTTGTGGCATGGACAATTATCCCATTCTGTTAACAGAATTTGGAAAATGTTCCTGTTACATCTGGTATATATATATATATATATATATATATATATATATATATATATATATATATATATATATATCATCTGACTTTGGTGCACAGTGTACAAATACAGGACACGGTGCTATGATGGAAAAGTGTGCATTACTCAAGGTTTCTGGTATATATTAATTGTGGCAATTATTACAGGTAGATTTTTCCCTTAAAGTT